TGCTTTATAAATCTATTATAAGCATTATTTGTAATAGCATTAGTATCAATTGGAATCCGTTTTTGATATTGGTCTTTTAGCCATATTATCAGTGCCTTTTCATATTTTCCATTGCATCATCTCTTACGTATAAAATTGTGCTCTTATTGCTTCAAGTTCCAGCTGCTACGCTTTTTCTAATAGCGTAGCAGCTGGAACTTCATTGCTTCGTAGAGTTTTCATTTTTCCTAATTGTCCTTATTGTGGCTTCATTCATGGAATTAAATTTAGCAATATCTGTTACTCTTTCTCTATTATGTTAGAGTTTCGTATTTAATTTTGTTTCTAAAGCAAAACTTTTCTTTTTATTTGATTTTTTAAAATCTTTTGGCATTATAAAACTTAAAAAAATTTACATAAATTATAAAAATGCGACGAAAATATAAATGTTGTAAACTTACCAGTAAGCATTCAAATATGTAGATAAAAGTTATGTAAGCTTTGCTACTAAAATAGCCTTACTGCTTAAATACTGCAGTAGTTCACATGAACCAAATAGCTTTACTGTTGTGAAGTACATAGTAAGGGGATTCCCCGTGTTGTAAAAGGAAAATCCCCATCCTTGTTGTTGCCAACCAGTATACCAAAGGAATGAAGATTCCAATAATTCAATTATGTATTTGCATATATGCAGCCGAATATACATTTTAACAAGTTTTTGAATTCCGTTAATTTTTAAACCGTGTAAAACCGAAATCGTGTAAAACAAGTACCGGGTAAATTGAGAGATAAGTGTATTCTGTTTATAGAAGAGCATTTCATTTAATACTATTACTGAAATTTTTAATTCTAAAATAGGAATTTAATAAGTCTATTTGAGTGTAGTATCTAAATATATTTAATTGGGCAATATCAAGCTTCACTTTCCTTATTTAGGAGCTGGAGAAAAGGTTGCTAATGAACGCAGGATAATACCATAACTAAGTCAAGATAATAGCAGATATATCTGTAACGTATTTATCAATTTTATCTCTGCGAAGATCAATAATCTGTTCCTTCACAAACTAATAATGACACAAATAACTGTTCTCTTCCGGAAGAGAAAAGTGATATGGAAGGCTAATGGCAAAAGCATCCCTATTATCACATAAAACTTCCGATGAGCATCTAGTTTATCTTTGTTTCGCAAAAGTAGCTTAAGGCCTTTCCTCTTCATTCATCTTAATTCCTTCTTTCGAAAAATAAAAATTGCGTAACCTTAGATGTTTATCTTGTAACAATTTTAAGCATAATTTAAAATGCAGAATTATAAAAGATAAAATTCAAAGTGTTACCAAGAATGAAATCGCAGGTTCTAACTGATAATTAAACTTGTGAAATGTTATGCAGTATAGCAATTCTGGTTGATTAATCTTCATTTGAGGAATACGCTTAGCAATTTTGACATTCTAAATCAAAGATTCTCAACAAGTTCAGTGTAGACCTTCTGGGTTTTAAAGATAGTTAATGATGATCAAAGCCTTTGAATATTTGGGATCAATACCCAAATATTCAAGGGCAGTTAATCGGCATAATGAAGATCTCATTGTTTGCAAAAACAATTATTAATATCATAAAATTGATAATTTGTTGTCTATTGGGTGCTACTTTGGTAGACGGTTGCGCATATTTTTGGCAATTTTTTTGGCAATCGATACAATTTATAGTAAACCCTTTTCTGGACAAGTTATTTATGGTAACCGATACTTTGTTGTCATTTTATTTTTAAAATGTTTTATGTGTATAATCGTATTTTCAAATATTGGGCTTCTAAATATAAAATCAGTTTTAATTTTCATTGTATTTGAAATAAAAATTTTATTGTTTGTGATTTTTATAAATTTTATGTGTGGAGATGTAATCAATGACTCACCCTTTTTTTAAAGTATTGGTTTTAAAATCTATAACTTTAATCTAATGTTTAAACATTATGTCTGTTAAATATTAAATGCAATTAATTTGCTTTTTTAAAATGATTTTATTATAATATTTTTAAAAATTTTAATTCTATGGTGATGTATCAGCTCCCTGATTGGTTACAGAATATTTGTGCATTACGAGCTGTAATCAGCTACCTGATTGGTACTGATTTGTGCATTACCACCATTTACCCCGCGCATATGTGGGAATTCTTGCTTCTAAGCGAATCGCATATGTCCCTTTCAAAGATCATGTTGTTATTGTAAGCACCAAGAATTATTGTATCGAATCAAAAAATGGTCCTTTGGACTAATTTTGGCCAACGGCTTTCCGATCAAAGATTTTATAATTGTAGAAGGGTCAAGGAAAATTATTTTAAATTTGGAGAAAACCTCGGTACTCAGCAATGACAATTAGCGTTAAAAAAACTTAAAGCCGTAAATGTATTTTATTTATTTTTATTTCTTTTAAACGTTAATTCATTTTAATAATATTAATCCAATTAAACGTTGCCGCAATGGTTTAGCGGCATTTATATTTTTTTTGGTTAAGTGCAAATCGCCCATTATTGATTGGCGTTTGTTAGGCGCTTTTTACAGGTAAAAATGGGATTTTTGTCAATTTTCTTTGTTTTTAAGTGATAGGTCAATGCGTACTGGATAAATTCAAGGAGTGGCAATGCGATTTTTGTCAGTTCTTTTTTTTAAGTGAAATCGGTCGATGTGTACATGGATACTGATATGTGCAATTCTTAAAAAAACCCCAAGCAGTGGGCGATTCTGCTTTCCCTTTCTTTGCTAGAAAGAATCATTAAAACCTTACTTTATTTTTTTTACTTTAGTATTTTATACTCGTGTAAATGTATTTTTTACATTGCCTGCCATCTAAGAAAAACGACGTTTTTCAACAAAAATGAGTCTTATTTTTAAAACGAATTTTTTTTTAAAGTTTCGAATGTTACTATACTAATCTTAAAACACACGTTTTCAAGATGGCTGACAATTGTGCAAACCGCGCCAACAAGTGCGCCAACGTAAATCGCCAAAAATCCGTGCAACCGTCTACCAAAGTAGCACGGTTTATTGATATAAATCTATATCGTGTAGTCAAAAAAAAAATCATATAAAATAAATATAAAGGGATAATAGTAAAATGTTATTAAATTATTCGAAAAATCAATAAAATAATTTTTTAATTTGTAATTTTATACGCTATATTATGCTTATGCTTTGGTTATTGAATTGAAAGAAAAACACTAGAGTTACGTTTTGATTATCTGCGACCCTGATTTCAAAACTCCATAGAACTTCCGTGTTTTGGTCGTATTTTTTTTGTATATATATGTAACAATCAACCTAAGCACATTCATTGGAAGCACGTATTTGCTAACATGCGGATTTACGTGTTTTATAATCAACCCTCATTTGGCTTTGCAGTACCCGAAGTCTACTAAAATTTGTATATCGATCTATAGCCTTTCGTTTCGTTTCGTAAAATTTCTTGTTTTTTATAAAATGTTTATTTTTATCATTATTATTTCCTCCTGGGATTGCGTAAAGTGACTTCGAATTTTACTGTGATCGTTTCTCGGGATTTTGGTTAAGATGTAGTAATTTACTTTGAGAGTAGCGGCTCCAGGAGCACAAGAACCTGGACCTGGTTCCTATGGTCGTAAAGGCAGCACATGTTGTCCCCGGACGATTGTGGCTTAAACCGTTCGAGTAGGCTAGCGCCACGGCCTGTCTGTAGTTTGCCGCCCCCCTGGTGGTCTCCGAGACCCGAGGAGGAGCGCCCGGTGGGCCAGTTCAGCTATGGGAGTTTAAAGGGAGAGTTCTTTTAAAAATCTGCTTTGTGGGATTGAGGCCCTCGTGGCGTATCAAGTGAAATCCATTTTCTGAGGTTTTTCTATGGACATTAATCGGCTTAACACGGAGGTTGTTTATGGGATGTCGCCTTAGTTGCAGGAAAGGTTAAATAAATATGTCTTTATCGTTATTACTGAAAAAAGTACCAATGTGCCGAAACGGAGGCAGAAAAAAAAAGTTTCTTGTCAGTTCACAAAGCACTCACCAACGACTTGGAGATCGTTTGTGGGGTAGCGGATAAACATAAAATACCAGTCTTGGCAGAGTTGTAAGAGACTGGCTGTAAGGATAATTCAGGGAAATTGAAGTCTAAAGTAAAAATTTCACCTGTTGAATTATCGCACACATCTTCAAGATTAATATGCAAATTACAGGCATCAGACGAAGCCGATATAATGTCACAATGACGAGAGTGTAAAAGAAGTGTATATAAGGAAAGGTAGCAAAGAAGTAAAATTGTTCACAAGCATTCTTTAAGCCGCTCAGTGCCAAAATCGAATAGTTATGACACAGAGGACGCAAGTGGATGATAGTTTACGTGGTAGATTTATCGGCCGCCTGGGGATGTGTGCGTATTCAGATGGAAGTATCCGAGGAACTTGGACTAGCCCAAAATATGTTTTGTAATTGCTCCCGGGAGCAAAAATCGTAATTTTTATGAATGACCTTAAACATAGACCATCTTTTTTGTTCTTTAGCTTTTGTTTAATAAATGGGCTTTATGAATAAATCATGTTTGTTTTGTTTCTGAACTTTAATTTGGCATTACCGTTAATTTATGGACAAGAGAATAGTGTTTTGGCGGCATGGAGGCTCAAGCCAAAAGTCCTCTCGAGAGTTTTGTGGTAGGGAAAGTGTGTATAAAATTCTCATATCCGGTTCGCCGGAGGGGGTTCTTCCATTAATATCGGAACGAGTCTTAACAGCCCGACTTGCTAAAACCCAGTTGACCAGTCGCCTCATCCTCGGTGCAAATTGAAAATGTATGAAATCTTTGCGAGAATAATTATCTATGTATAATATCGACATTTAGAAATACAGTGAGATATAGTAGCGCTTTAATTTCAAAATAACGGACTTTGTAGTTATTAAAATGCAAAGTATAAAAATTAAGAATTTTATATGATATTCATTTATATACTTATTTTAAAACAACCTATTTAATATTTATAACTCTTTGTCAAATATTTTTTACAGGTTGAAGAAGTAAAACTATAACTATGTGTTAAGCTCTGTTTAATAAAAAGTTTCACACCATGTCAAAGTAAGTATCTTAAGAATCTATACCGTGTTTTTAGCAGCTATATTAATACTTTTTTCTTTAAAAATACTGTGTGTTTTGAAGCTCAAAAAATATAAAAAATCAGGTTACTTTTTCTATTTAAATGTTAGACGTATTTATTTGGGCTGTGCCTGCTTGATCACAAAAGCAGATGGTAGAATAATAATATAATGGTAGAATAATGGTAATATAATGGTAGAATAATGGTAATATAATGGTAGAATAACTTCCTTTTCCATCTTATGATTATTATCTGTCTAGTTGCATATGCGATTATATATATTTTTTTATCTTCATGTAAAAATACGTTATTCTTTTGTGATTATAAGAAATATGACATATTAGATTGCATTTAATTTTTCTATTTAGACAGAAGGTGTTTTAAAGGAAGTGATGAAAATGAACGACATACATATTCCAAATTAATGTGTTTGTTTCATTATGGTTTACATAGCTAAACATTTTAGGATACCTCTAAGGGTGGGCCATTTTTAGCTCAGACAGTAAGGACTTTCTTCTTCTTTACCGCTTGCCTTCTCGATGTAATAATTAAGTGGATATCTAACAACTGTTCGGTAAGTGCTAAATTTCTTATTCGCACTGATTCTATTTCATCCTTGTATTCGCTTAGGAATATCTTCTAATATAATAAATTAATTGTCACTTCTCATGCTCTTCTTAAAGAGCGTAATAATAATGGTGTTGATGTTATACTTTCTCATGTACGTGGCCACATTGGCAATCTAGGAAATGAAAGGGCTGATTGGTTGGCAAAACAGGCTACAAATATTCACAATTACATTGCTGATTGGCTGGAGTATTACATGAATCAAGTAAATACTCCAATGATACTGCCCGAGTTATTTTTCAAGGAAAAAAATAGGGATGATACAATAATCAAAGGGGAATGAATTATGCAGGAAGTCTACTACTGCCTCCTTGACTAAATTATGTTTTCCTTCCATTCCTCACAGACTAAATAATAAACACTTTGTTTACAATTTTGAAATTACTAAATTTCTAACTGGACATGGTAATTTCCATTCGTATCTGAAGAGATTAAAATTATCTAGTACAGACTTGTGTTCATGCACTTTCGGGGGAGTGCAAAATGTCGAACATGGGAAAATTTTTAGCGTCCGTTTACTTGAATGCATAGACTGGTTATATATCAAGTAAAACAGTCATCCATTTCTGTTAGGCCCAGCAGCGGCCGAGCGGTAAAGTCGCTGAGCACTGGTAGTTTGGTCCGAATTTCAAATCTCGCGAATTGACTGGCTGCATGGGTGTGTTTTCATGGTTTTCCCCATGGGTAACGTGTATACGATCCAGTTTTCTTTGGAAAGTCCTTCACCCCCTTAGACAAATAGCCATCTCGCTTAGTCGAAATTACATAAACCAAACGAAACCAAACCCACTTCTGTTGGGTGGCCGCAGGCCACGAGGCATGAATTCCCGGGCGGAAGCCCTATCCCAGATTAATAAATATACGATATCTAAAGTTTAAATAGCATTCTGACGATGTCAATAGCATTTTAGAAAAAAAAAATGTAGTTCCAGTTTGGAGAGAAGTAGAGCGAATCACTACTTCCTGAGAGGAAAAGAAAATTTCATTAGTGGGAGGAGCGAAACGACTTATTACGGGAATGTATGTAGCATGATGTGTTGAGCAAAGTAGTAATGAAACTGAAAGTATTAGAAATATTAAAGCATTGGGAAGACCAAGACTCATTGTCCACTTAATGCCTTGTCGGCTAACTGTCCGTGTCGGCTAAATGTCCTGTTGGCTAAGTGTCCATGTCGACTAAATGTCCTGTCGGCTAACTGGTGCCGGTTAAGTGTCTCGTCGGCTAAGTGTCCGCAACCGATAAGTGTACGTACATATAGTAATAGAATATATTTTCAAAATTAATGTTCTGAAATTCGAAATGTTTGGTTTTACTCTCCAAAACGTAAATATATTGAACATTCTGGTGTACAATTTTGGGGTGAGTAACAAGTAGTTACTGTACATTACGACGTATAACGTGCAATTTTAATGAAGCAAATAAGAACGAAATTTACGGGTGCAAATTATACGCAGAAAATAAAAATTATAGATTTAAAAATCAGAAAAAATGAGCATAAACAAATTAGGTTTCTACATATACCTAAATGTTGTTTAATTAAAAGAAATTACATAGCTTATGAATTAAAAAAATTTCATTATCGGATGAGAAGTTTGTCCCATTCATCTTCTGTTGTATCTTCAGGCACAACATCGAATTCTGTTTCATCTTCACCATCACTGTGGTCCATAATAATAATCTTCCGTCCCATCTACATTCTTATATGTATATACTGCATATTTTAATTACCTATGTCGGGTTTAATTTCATTCCATGCTTTTATCATCCACGAACACACTATTTTTCGACCTGCATGACGCATTTGACCTTTCTTTTGTGAATCACTTTTATAGCTTCTACCATCGACGTATTCCATTGTTATTTTAATTTTTTTGAATAGTTTATTGATACACACATCTAAAGGCTGAACTAACGGCATTAATCCAACTGGAATAACTGCCATGTCTATGTTACAATCTTTCATCACTTTCATCATTACTTCCTCAAGCATTCCCTCCACACACATATTCTCCTTTTCACTTGTCAATTCAGTATACCATTGTTCAAAAGCCTGACAAAAATCTTCGACAAATGGCTCCAAAAGATATGGACATCACACATGTATATTTCCGGTTACTTCATAAAGAAAAGAGTGAGCGTTATACGGAGAACATACCTAAAAATTAAATTATTAAAATAAAATTAGCATCGAATATTAAAATATAAAAGTAAAATTGCCATCGAATATTAAAATTATTTAAAATTTAAAGCCATGTCGAAGATATCACAGAAATATGTGAAAGGAAAGTATAGTAATTTCTTACGTACTAATTGTCTCTCTCATTGCGTATAGCAAAAATTTCAAATCCAACTTTGTTTTATGATACAATTTACGTGGTCCAGAGCCGTAATATTGGTGGAGATAAAGTTTCCCAAATTAATATCTTACTATGAAACCCCACGTGGTTCCAAAGAATTTAGGGACCCAGTTGGATAAAATAGAACGTGCCCCATTGTCTACAATAGAAATTCGCAGAGTTTGGTGCTGTGATTAACAATGGAAATTTATCTACCTGGGTACTAAATATATTTTGATGCTTCCAATTTTAGGGGCCAAAATACCTCATCTTCAAAGTTATTTGTAGCTTTATGTGTCGAATCGACATCACCACTCAAGCTCATAATTCTAATAAAAAATAAATTAAGAGCCAAAGGACTAGGATAACTGTCGTCATCAAGGGCACAGAAACTGATGCTCAAAGATCTGCGTAGTTATAACTCTCAGATAATCCAAATATTAAGTTTTCCACTATTTCCCTATGGGCCATAATGTAGAGTTTCCAAGCCATTACTTTGTTCGTTTTTGATAGAGCTCTTATGTGAACTTAACCGCAGCCCTCTGGTAGTGTTACAATTCGATGTAAAAAAAAATATAAATAAATAAATAAATAACTCTGTAAGATTTCAGATTTTATACTACGCCGAAAGGAGAGGTTTTTTTTTTCATTTACATACATACATACACTTTTCGGGAGTATTTGGGCTAATGCCCCTTTAGGCTAAAATATTTAAAAACAGTATATCCTTAGAATTTCCGATAGATAGTCTCGCATCCTCAAAATAAAAATATTTTTTCCGTAAAGTGTTGCTATTGCTCGTTTTGAAATCTTTGAGTTTGTTAGTCAAAAACTCTTTAAAGTTTCACAAAATATGAAATAGACAATAAAACAAATTCGAAATTCAGGTTTCCAAGCGCGACTAATAGCCATTCTGTGCTGACGCTCCTTTGGGCTAAAAAAAACTGAGAAGAGTTTTGGAACTAAAGTAGTTGTTTTCCTTTAGCTTAACAATGTGGATCCAGATAAAGATAATTCAAATGCAAAACCAATTTCTTTTCGCTTTCGGCTTTCAGCAAGCAAAAAATTAAGAAAAAATTATCTTTCTTTATCTGCATTTCAAGTGAGGGAAAGAAAAAGATGATTCACACCTTTTTTACTCGTTATCACTTATAGAATAACTCAACCTTTCATTCATCGGCTAATAGAAGTTTAATAGTTTCCTCAAATCTTTCCACTTTTTTACTCGACAAAATGTCCCTATTAAGTACTTCATAAACATCAGACAATGCTCTTTCTACCCTAAATTCAAGAGCTTGACGCTCACAGATAGGTATTAATACATAAGTAATATGAAAAACTGATTAAATACCTCAGACGAAAAATTAAATCCATACAGAGCTTTTTTTGCGTACTTCTTTGAAAAATATTTAAGGCTATCTTTGTTCTAAATAAGCTGCTATTAAAATGTTGAAACGCATTCGAGGCTGTGATGGAAAATATATGTAAGAGGGGCTTTTACCAATCATGCGTCTCAGTGTCGAACAATCAGTGTCTTTTCTGTGATGAAACTACAGCTGTTTTCAAGTGCTCTTCATGCTTAGCGTGCTTCTCTTCTGGTAGTTTCCAATGACCTAACATTTGGGTCACCTATTATGTAAAATATTAGTATCAACAGGACTTCAACAATTCGCAGTAGCATTTCGATAACTCAAATGAGAATATTTTTTCTTTATAGGTGATATTCAATGAAGCCCGGTGGCGCAGTGCTAGCGCATTGCGAAGCAGCACCACAGGTCCGGGGTTCGATTCCCGGGCTGGGCAAGGTCGACTCAGCCCTTGATCCTTTGAGTGGGTCGATAAAATGAGTACCAAGTTCGCTTGGGGTCTAAACACCGGGGGTCTTGTGACAAACCGACCACTTGTCCAGGGCATATGCTCATGTACCCCGGGGCCCACGGTCACGAAAGCAGATAAAGAGGCACTGCAGACCCTGGCCCACTAGGGCTGTTACACCACTGAGTTTAGTTTTTTTTTAGTTTAGGTGATATTCAATAAAATAAATATGTTCAAGTTCAGCGAAATAAAAAAGTAGTTATTTAAAACGTGCATATCATAATTCGTAGATAATGTAATAAGTAACAAATGAGTTAAAAAAAACTGGAATAATTGAGTTCCTCCACGAACAATCATAAGTTGTTCATCTAAATGTGTATCTTATATTTTACTGGGAATCTAATGATCTACATTATTTTACATTTGTATGTTACATGAAATCGAATATGTTCTGACTATAGTTAATAACAGCTTAAAATGATAAAAAGTGCTTTGTGTATATAAATAACTTCCCGGGTAATTTAAAATTTTAAATAGCTATTATTCTTATTGAATTGTATAACATGTGATGTAAATAAGTAATCTTAGATAATACACGGCAAATTTAGGTAAATTGTATACACACGTCTTATAACTTTATTTGCATACCCGTGGTAATGTGAAGTTCAAGAACCTTACTTAGTTTTGCAGCAGCACTCTGCTGATATATTCCAGATATACCTCCGAACTTCTGAATAAATTAAAGTTTTCGTAAATCAACGTTTTGGTTCAAAGGAAAGAAAATTGTCATTGTTTCACTAGGTGGCTATGCATCTGTCTTTGATGATCTTAAACCATGAAATAAACTCCTCATTTGCTCAGAAACTTGAATAACTCGATCTGTTAAAAGCGTTTCTCATTACATAGCTTTATGGATACCAACTACTTAGAGTTTGCTTCGTCTTACAAAAAGCTATATATCCTACTAAATATTTCTCTGGTAAGAAAGAATCAGGAAGTTAGGAAATCGGTGAACGGAGGAATAATATTAGAGGGAAAAAGTAGAATTATTTGTCCTTTATTACCTGGAGTTACATCGTTTTGCATAAACGCTATGATTCCTAGTCCACAATCTTGCAAGTGCATGTTAGATTTGACGAGAATGCCCTAAGTTAGTTCAATTTTATGGACGATAGCTTTTGTCCACAATAGGTTAATATAATAAATGCTGGAAAGCGTGGTTATGAACTAAATAAATGGGTCAGCTAGATTTCCAGACCTAAATCCTATAGAATGTGTCTGGGATATTCTTTAGAACGCAACTGCAACTCATCCTCCACCTCCCAGAATCCTCTTGGATCTAAACACAGCGTTGTAGCAAAGACTGCTACAGGTACTCATAAAGTGACACATTTTCAGCATGAGTCATGTTGTTAAAGAGAAGACTGTGTGACTGTTAAAGAGAACCATACTCCTGTTAGCCTCATTTTAAGTTCGGTCTTACAATTTCTGCTTTAGGCTTTCCTACACCGGTGAGACTTACAAACAATTATACGTGTGTACCGTGACTGTTGCGTGGTATATTTTTGCATATTTCCTTAAAACTCTCTTTGGCAGTTCAGAACATGTTCGATCAAATGGAAAATTCTCTTAATTTTGAACGCCAGCGTAAGCTTATTTTTCGACAAAAACTGCTGATTGAGGACTATTTGGGAGGTGAATTTTTTCATGCATCTGTGCACATGCTGAAATACTGAAAAAATTGCAATGGATTTCCTTACGGTTGACATTGTGATGGGTCAGATAAATGTGGAATGTATCTTATTCTATTCTGACATCATTTGTTTCCGTTTCACACAAGTTAATGTTAGTCACACGTCTGCAGGAATGGTAGTGGATTACTTTTTATCAAGAAGCCTGTGCATTGCTATTTTCTGCCAATTATTGGTTTTATGAATCATATAATGAATAATATTTTGTTTGGAAAAAGCTTAGACAATGAAAGTGTAATACTTATTAAGGTGCTTATGCATCACCACTGCCTGTCTACGGCCTACGTTTTGCGTATTCTCTCATGGTAACTACCTTTTTATCACACCTTCGTTGTTATACACCTTCGCACCTTATTCACCTTCGCTGTTATTCACTTTTATTGAGTTATTTTAAGTTAATTCGCTTTCTTATCCTCCTCATTTTCCTATCAGATTGTAAATTTCAAACTCGCGTGATATTCTAATGTGTTAAACAGGAGATTGTATGTAAAGGGAGATTTTAGTATCAGAAGGACTCGGTCCTTTCACCAGACGAGCTTGTTTCCTTTCAGAGACGCCTTTCATCTCTTACAAATTCTCACACACCGTGACAAAGGGCCACGCTCTTCCTTTCACCTCACCAAGCTTCCGTCTCTAAGGATTTTAGTTACTCTAATTGTGCAGCAATGAGGCTAACTTACTTTTATCTAGTCAAATTCATTATCTTTGATTTAAGGATCAATGCTGGCTATTTTCGTAAGCAGGAATGGTGCCTTGTATTAAGCTATTTGAGTTAAATAAATGGGTCCTTTATACCCTTTTCCTGCCTCCGTGGTACTTTACAAGACATAGTGCTAATTCACGTATAAGACGTTTAGTATAGTTTATCTTACCTAAGAACACGAAACATTGCAACATCTTTCATTAACACATAAAAATAAAGTTAATAAAGGTATACCTTCCTTCCCAATAACAAAACAAAGAAGTTGGCATGCTGGCTCAGAATGCAGTTTTCTCATGAGACACTAGCATGTAGCAAAAAAGCATTAGAAATTCGGAATATTTTTCTGAAAACATTAGAAATTCAAAATATTTTTCTGTTTTATTTTTGCATTTTTAATTATACCGCCGATGCAAAATTTGGTATTGGTTGGCTACAAGTTTTTGTACCAATATCTTTACAAAGTCATATTGTATTTCTAGGGAAAATACGTTACTTCATAATTACTTGATGAATGAATATTGTTGCATTACAGCTTAGTAAACACAAAGAATAATACTGCATGCGGTGATACTGAATATAAAACAATCCTGCAACCAAAGAGAAATGTTTATGAATTTCAACAGAGAGATGATGAACAAAAGAATATTGTAAAAACTAATAAGATACCACAGGCCTTTCTTCCTTCCTCACAGAATGATCAGATGAACAGTTTCGCATCAGAAGCTCCTATCGATTTGCGAAGAGGTAAATTAAATTCATTACATTTAATGTTTTTGATATGAGTAAAATAAAACCTTTCTTTTTACTGAATGATAATACAATCAATAAATTCTCAAAGCTTATTAAAGTGCTACTTTATTAAATATCCTATTTCATAATCACAGATTAGTAAGCGCCCACTTATACATTTACAGAGTAATATTTAAAGAATAAATTATTACGATTATTAATTACACGACACTGTTAATAAAACAAACAAATTGGAAAATTTTCAAGCCAGTTACAGTACCATAGTTAGGTATAGTAATAAAGTACACTAGCATAATGCCAATATAATGAGCGAGGCTATGGAGAATTAATCGTATGTAAAAGTATATTAATTCTTTTAACAATAAATTTTGAGTTTCCTTTCAGTTTGCTAACTGCAAACACTGTTCTGTAGCTAGTATATTTAAATGAATTTTGTTCATATAGCAACGAAATTACACTGGTGAACAGTAGAAGCAGCAGCAACCACAAAATGGAAGGCAGGAAAATGTGAAAATTAGCGTAAGTGCGGGATACAGTAAGATTTTTTATGCGTATGCAAATTTTAGATTGCCGAAGTTGTGCTGTTGCGACTTATCTCACTTGCCTGGCAGTGACGTCAGAAATTACCCACGAAATTCATCGGGGCAAGGAGAGCAAGACTGCGCCTGTCGTTGTCAAAGCCACGAGCACCAGTACAGTACGAGCCACGAGCCAGTAAAGCCACGAGCACCAATATTTAGGCTTTGTTATCAGCAATACGCTGTCTTGGTTTCCACATGTGAAACATCTTAAACAGAGATGTGCCGTTCTTACGAATGGCATGACAAAGACTATGGGCCTTAATTGGGGTACTTCCCCAAAAATCTTGCGGCTGTGGCATAAAACAATCACTGAAAGAGTTCTTTTGTACGGAGTCTCCATTTGGGGTTTTGATATGAACAAAACTATGAGTGGCTTAATTCAATACAGAGGCATCAGCTATTATTTATTTCCAAAGGTTATAGAACAACCTCGACAGCCTCACTGCAGATTTTGGCGGGTATACCTCCATTAGATCTGCAGGCTCAAAGAGACTCTTTCTTAGGACGGATCCTACGATTACGATTGAATGGGGATTTATGGAACCAACATCACCTAGTAAATGATTATGAACTACGGGTTCCATCTAATATTGGCCATCCTGCCTCTTTAAAACTCAAATCTGCAGTCAATTTATACTATACGGCTCCAGTAGCCAATGACATTGCTCTCTTACAGATGGTTCTAAAACTGAACGTGGAACAGGTTGTGCATTTTGTGTATTTAACAATACTCAAAAGGTATATACATGGACTCGAAGGCTTGATGACAGAAATACTGTTTTTCAGGCAGAACTTTTAGCGATAAACGCTGCTCTGTACTTATGTTAAAAGAAATGTATCGGGCAAGACTAAGATATTCAGTGATTTATTATCTAAGTCTGCAGGCTATCTTCAGACATTACGAATAGAAATCCGATTGTACAAGTTATTCAAGAGAAATTGCTAAAATTTAATTCATCTGAAAGACCACTTCTTACCTGGGTGCCAGCTCATGTTGCATACTGGGCAACGAAGAAGCAGATACTTTAGCTAAATGGGCTGCTAATGATATCAACGGAATTGAAAAATCCAACGAAATTGCCTTTTTCACACTTGAAGAGCGAGGACTTTAAATACACACTGCTTGTGAAATGGCAGGAAAGATGGACTAATGACTCCACAGGAAGACGAGTCTTCTCTTTCTTTCCAAAAGTTTCACTCAGTCAAAGAAGCCACATCGAATTTTTATACTCAATTTTTCACTGGTCATGGACCTTTTAATACATATCTCTTTTGATTTGGACTACGTACGACTGAGCTTTGTTCTTGCGGGGAGTTGGGAGACCCTGAACACTTTATCTTTCACTGTCCATTTACTAAAAACCTTCACTTGAATAAACCTTTAGATCAACACAGGCCAAAATGGGCTGAATTGATATTAAAAAACTCTAGTGAGAGTAAGAAATTAAGGAAATTATGCTTTTCTGTCAGGAATTAAATTTTTCTGTAAATAATTCTCTCAGATCATCTCTATTGGGAGTGAGTAATTGACTTTCAGCGACTGTTAGATTTTTACTGTATAATGGTAATTGTTTAACTTTGTGTGTTTGATGCTTATTATTGTTCATTTTTGTTGTTTCCACTACTTATGTTACTGATTTAAAATTAGAAATGGTTTTACTTAGAACAGACGTATCTGACATTGAATGCATCTATGCTCTTATAAATTGTAACGGTTACTTGTAGCCTATTACTTTCTTATATTGTACAAATAGTCGGTTTTATTTGTGATGCACATAGTATTTGTCGTATGGTACTGAAATCGTTCTTAATCATATATATATCATGATTATTTTGTTCAGTTTTGTAATTGTTAATTAAATTTTAACAGAAAATTTGTGTGACAATTTTATTATTTTGCATATTTTAATGCGTTCTTTTGTAATTGAATTGATTCACTTTAGTGAATTTGATAGGCATTAATTGTGCATTCTATTATAAAAATTTGCATTCATGATAGTTATTTTATATTAATTTTATTTACTTTAATCTTGAATGCATTTTGTATTTGATTTTGAAATTCTGTAAAATTTTATGTCGGCATTTTTCTAGTATTGCATTTGTCTTAGCGATGCCAGCAAACCTAATCTAGAATAATTATTTTGCATACCTTTTTGCACTTTTCTGAATTGAATAGTTGACTTATTTTTGTGAATTTGATTGGTTTTACTTGAGTTCTCTATTGTAAAATGTGCATTTAAGGCAGTATTTTATAATTTTCTTTGACTTATTTTTGAATGAATGTGGTTTTTGGAATTGGAAATTTTTCATATCTTTATGTTGTTTTTTTTTTTTTTTTTTTTTTTTTTTTTTTATTTTTTTTTTTTTTTTTTTTTTTTTTTTTTTTTTTTTTTTTTTTTTTTGTTGGCATTATTCTTGTACTGTATTTCTAACGCGTTGCCAGCAAACCTGATGTAGAGTTTTTATATTACTTGGAGTGGTTTTGTTTTTAAACCAAATTTATGTTTTGTATTGTAATAATATCTCAGGTTCAGTGTATTTTATGATAATATTGTTCAGTTATCAAAGTTATTGGTTCTTAATTCTGAATTCATATGAAAAAGTTTTTTTTGGCAGTTTATTATTGTCTTAGTTTATCTTTATGCATTTTTTTCTAAATTGAATGGTTCTTCTTGAAATTGTGAATCTAATTGATATTAATTATGTATAATACAGTAATGGATGTATTATATTTTGTTTGTACTATAGTTTTTATTTAAATTAGTTGGACTCAGTTTTGAAAGTATTTCGTATTTTCAGTACAAATTATGAAAGTATACTCGGTTTATTGTTTGAATGCTATAGGTACTACTTGTAACATGCTTTCTTTAGGGTCTATTATGACTATGTTACTTATGTTCTTGTGTTCTTGAAGGCCTTGTATGCCACTGTAAACTTATTCTGCTTAGTCATAATAAATAGCTTCTGGAGACAGGGGCTTTAATCCGTGTAAGGCAGACATCATGTCAGCTAGGTAATGGAGCCCCTGTTCTCTGGTTAACAGTAGGTGACAGTACGACTTCATTCATTTCCGCACCCAAATTTGAATCCAGGGGGGGACTGGTCCAAGTGTCTCCCAGCCTCCTTCTTTTACCACAACCTCTCGAGAGAACTTTCGGCTCGCCCCATGTTTAAAGTGCCCCAGTGTCACACAAACAGAATACAATTACAAGCATTCATGCCTTCTCCGGGATTCGAACCCGAACCCTTTGGTATCACAGTAGGCTCTATTAATCACTATACTGTCTGGGCGGTTGCCGAAGTTGTTCGTCACGGGATAACACTGATAAGAGATATTAAAGATTTGACGCGTATTGACCTTTGTAGCTTAAAAGCAAAATTTAGCAGGAAAGAATCAGTTGGCGAACTTGCAATTTTCGGTGTGTCTTTTCAACATCACTTGAATGATTTTGACAGATTGAAGAAGAATAATTTTAAAAATAGCAAACGGTATTTCTCATTTCAAATAACAATCTGTTGCCAGAAATGTTTATTCCAAAACATGTTTTTTTTTTAAATCTTTATCGCAATCTTTCTAAAAAATTGTAAACACCCTTCTGTATTAAAACAATAATAATTAAGTCACAAGAATTGATACAACATTCGTAAAAGCACAGGACTACAGCTTAAAAGGTTAAACAGAATGTTTCTCTTCATCTGGGGGAACGAAAATGACAGAAAAGGTACATATGCCTACCTGAGAACAGCAGAGAAATTTAGTCAAAGAATAAACAACAAAGCTCCTACCATTCTCCTGTTTATCATTCCTACTGACCGAAAAATAAATGAAAAGCAGCTAAGAAAGAATCTGAAAAAGCTGACAGTAAGGAGGGATTAAATCATTAAACTTTATCGTTGTAGATACAAGTTTCTTTTTCATCATTTTCATTCCCGCACCTGAGGAAGAGGTTTCTGTTTAACCACAGAAACTATAGTTCTGCAAATTTATTCACAATGCGCTAATTCCTGTGATTAGTTGCTTTAACAATTAATTCTTCGATGCGTTCTTTTTCCTCCACAGGAAACAATAAGTTTTCCTCTTAGTTCCATGAATATAACCATATTTATAAAACGGAAATAATTACTCTAAATACATTACAGTTTGTTTTGTTTTCTTTCGTTTTATAGGAGCTTGCGGCGACTCTAGTAAATCATTGTGCCGTTGCTGTAGGATAAATTTCAAAAACATAAAAGAAGACAAAAAACCCTCGAAAGTCCTTTATTGGGAAATTCCTAGACCAAAGTTTTCTGGTATATCTGTTACCAAGCATGATTATAAAATCCATCCTTTAGTAAAACGGTGAGCAAAAGAAATATATATGTTTAATACTTTTGTTTTGAGATACTTATGTATATAATAGAGTTTTCTCCTTTAGATTTTTATTTTTCCTCATTTCTATTGTTGTTATATTTTAATTATAAATATAATCCATATTTATTAAGAGGCATATGTTCATTTCCATCAAGAAGTCATTTAATTTTCCGAAGAAGCATTATTTAAAATATTCAGAAGTTTTCTTTCTGATGAAAAGAATGAAATGTTTGCTAGGCTCCGAGTAATGAAAGCTGATTGGAAAATTTAAAGGGAAAACTTTCTAAATTTCAAATTTCAGAAGTAAACGTTGGGAGAAAAACTTGTAACATCAGATCGTAAAACAGAGTAATTTACTTTTAAGATATATTTAAAAATCGTTATTAAGCTCTGAAAAGTAAACTAAAATAATGAAAAGAGATTTTTCTCACTTCAGATTTAAAGTAAGCAGTAACATAACTCAAATCAGTAACATAACTTGCATAATTAAGTATATTGACTTTGTTCACTATTGTTTCAATTGCCTAAATTTTGCTCAGGTTAATTTAATTTTTAAAATATTCGGGTAACCTTACTACAGCAATGCAAAATAAAACCTTTTCTAATGCTTTTTTCCAAAATAGATTTACGAAGAAATCTCGTTTTTCATCATAAAAGAGAAATTTTAAAAAAGAAGAAAGAAAATAAGACGTAACATTTGCCCTAAAGTTTTCGATTTAATTCAAATGTAACCATGAATATGCTAAAGGTATGCGCAACTCGTTTATCATCGAAGTGCATTCGTTTATCGGATGAGCAGCTTACTCGCTACCGTTTTTAATGGTCATTCTACAATCGCCCACTCGATAAGTTGTTCTATCCGGTATAAGATCAATTCTTTTTAACAAAACTTCCAGATCTAGGCAAATGCTTTGTTAACATGTCTGGTATACATCATTTTGCTATTGCAGTATTGTAATTTAACGATTCCTTGATTTTCTAAATTACGTACGGAGTGATATTTTGCATCGATATGCTTAGTGTAACTGCTTCCTTTTTCTTTCCTGAACAGACTTATGCAAAGTATTTTGTCCTACGTATCTGTTGAACGCTATAGCTATGCATTTATTTCAATAGTTCTGAAGTTAATGCTGAAACAGTATATATGTACATGTTTGTGTGCATGTTAGATATGAAAATGATGAAACGTTATTAACAAATTTCTAACTTAATTGGCAGTAGCTTAATCCTGCAGTAATCTGCATTGCTGTAAGTTTTTGCCCAGTTGCTCTTACAGATTTAAACAAAGCATTTCAAGCATATTTATAAGTCCTGCTGTTTAATATGCATCACTTTTTCCTCCTGTTCTATTGCCAGCAAACATCTCTTCACCGCTGTGCAATTTTCATCGACCATTCTAAAATGTAATGCTGTTTTATTCTTCTAAAGAACTGTTTAGATTCTGAAATGGGTTCAATCATCTAGCTAGTCATACTTTTTCCAAGTTCCGGTCTACTATGCAATCAATATTTCAGCTACTGTCTAATTTCATTCTACTCTGACCATGACTGAAAAATAATTGGTGCATAAATTATGCATCAGCTCAGCAATTTTCGTTTACCCCTTCTCTCGGTTTTAGTATTCTAAATTCAATGTTAAAAAAATTATTAATATTTAATCATTATTTAAGATAATTGATCTAAGTTATTGGCAGAATTTAATCCGTAACTGTCATTATAATTCGATTAGGGGTAGGGTCTCGAACCCAAGGACCCTGGTGTTTGACACCGTTAACTTTAACAAGAAGCAAAAGATGGTACAGCTAGATTAAAAGCTAAATTTTTTAAATAATAATCTTGCCTTGATATGCAAGAAAAAAATGAATATTGTTTCAAAAATGTTGCAGCAGTTCAACGAAGATTTAGCAGAATGTGTCGAAACATTAAGAAATTTAAAAACATGTTTAATTTCGAAAAGAAATGACGAAAGCTTTACCACATTTATCAATCAATTGTCTATTTTTGCACAGAAATTGAAGTACAGCCCTAATTTCCCGTAATCCATGAAAGGAAAAAAAAACTTAATACGTTTCACAAGTCACATGATGAATATGTTACAGACTATAAACAAAATTTTAGAGTCCATTTTTACTTCAAATTTTAGGTACTATCGTCCATTCAGTAGGTGAATGTTTCGATTTGTTGGAAAGCTGTATCTCATTACCAGTTTTTTACTAACTTTTCATTCTTCAAGTAACGATAATTTGAAAGAAAGGTTGCATGAATTCAGACATTAAACTTCAAATAAATGAAGATCGAAAAGTAGTGGTGTGGTGTGGTGTATTTAATTATGGCAAAGCTCGCTAGGGCTATCTGCCTAAGGGGAGGGATGCCTTTGTGGAGGACTTTCTAAGGGAAACTGGCTAGTATACACGTTACACATGGGGAAATCCACGAAAACACCCATGCAGCCAGCTCGTTCGCGGGATTCGAACCTCGGACCGAACTACCAGTGTTCAGCAACTTTTACCGCTCGGCCGCTGGTGGGCCAGATCGAAAAGTAGAAAGAGCCTTCAAAAAGACGGTGTATAATTGCATAATCTTTTGAGATCTATTTCCCAACGTTTGCCTGTTAGCTGCCCAGCCGGTATAGTGGTTAGTGACTCTGATTGCCGTAGCAAGGCGCCCGGGTTCGAATCTTGGAGAAGCCATGGTTGTAACTGGCCGTCCCTTCATAGGAAACAGCGTGGTGGTGCTTTCATAATAAAATGTCCACCACTTCCGTCCACTTGTAGTGGCGCAAGGCTAATGGCTATTAAAGAAAGCACCCGTACAATTAAAAAATTGCCGTTTAAAGCCATTAGAAGTTTTGAATCATATATTAAGCGATGATTTAACACCATATTTCCCCAATTTATCTATAATACTTCGAATTTTTTTTTACTGTACTTCAATTGAAAGAAGTTTTATAAAATTAAGTTATTTAACATCAACAGTCTCACAAGAGGGGCTCTGGCAACTAGTACTTCTATTTAAAGTGATATCTGTGAAGTGCTAGACATTTCAAATGTTATAGATGAATTCGCCTGTAAAAATGCTCAAAAAATATTGTTATAATATTTTGAAAGATCAGAAGATATTTAGTTGGCTGTTTTCCCTTCCTTGTCTTATTTTAAGTTTTTTAATTATTTATAAGATATAGAAATAATACGCTAAACAAACAAAAACTGAAATGGTTTTTTGGCTGCCTACTTATATTAATAAGTATTATTACGTCTTTTATTACTAATTGTAAGAATATGTACTGTAGTTTTGGATTGTACTGACATTAAATTAGGCATGTTTCTCTTATTGTTTTTCATCCATTGCCATACTTTATTTCCAAGTGTTTGATAGTAATTAATTTAAATATTTAAAGCATATGGTTTGTAAAATTGGGAGGCCAAATTTAATTTGCACGTGGGCGGCCGACGATCTAGTATTGACACTGGCTAGATCTATCGAAAGGTTTTGAGGTATTGTTAAAAGCAAGTTCTCTAATAAAACAGTAAATTTTGATTCATTTCAAAAGAACGTTTCTTCGACTAATAAAGTGCTAACCTGAATGAGCAGAATCAAACAATTTCAATTTGCACATCGAGAAAGAACTAATTCAATAATGTCCTGATTTGTGTCTTAATTTTGTAAAAATTATAGAGAGAAATCTGAAATTTTTCTCATTTATATCTGGATGCCCCTTAAATATTTTAAACAGTAATCGATTATGATCTAGTGAAGAATAATCATTAAAAATTTCCGTATTACTGGAAAGTACAGAGTTTGTAAAGGTGATGATGGGAAATAAATGCTTGACTTTTTGTTTCCAAAATGTTTATTTCATCAATAACTTTTTTCGAATGAAAAGAGAAACTGTTTTAAAAAAAATGAATCTCAAAACGGAATATGTAAGAGATAACTATAGTTTTTTCACAATTTTAGAATAATAGTGAAAATCTGATACACCAACTATAAAATTTTTAAGATTTTTCATTACAGTAAATTTCCAGTTATCAGGAATTCGTATACCCAAGAGCTCATATTATCTCCTTCGCTTGCTCTTTCTAAAATAAATAAAATTAAGCCAGTATTTTATTAATTTATGTATTTTAAATTTTCTTTGATTTCAACATGATAAAAATTGATAGAATGCCGACCATACAGTGGCTCACATTTGTTTTTCTCACACTTTTGTTTCTGGTATTATTTACAAAACACATCTATTTGACATTAAATAAATAACTTCAGATTTCTTTCTTTACCTGTTTCAGAATTTATTTATTGTAACAAAATTATGTTCAAAACGTTTCTAAAAATAAAATTATTTTATTCAAAAGTTCCAAAACCGCACTCACATAATTTAGCAGTTTCACATGTAAAGCCAACGTAACAAGATATTACAAAGTAACTGTAAATTCTAGTAAGAATTTAATTGTGCAACTTTATTGTAGTAGCAAAGTGTTACAGTGTCCCAAAAATCGTTAATATTGTTAAGCATTCAACAGTCTTTGATGCTATGATGAAACGATGGATATTGGTAGTAACAGCTGGAATGCCTTCAAATCAGGAAAGCATTTTGAGCTCATATCAAGAAACTCGATTTAACTCATGGAAAATCAGCCAAAATACATGGCTTATTTATATAAAAGTTGCAAATTAATTAGAATAGTTCGCGGTGAAAGTTAATCCTGAAGCTGCCAGCTGAGTTACAGGGTCTGGCCTTCTTAGGTAGCATAAAATTAAACCAGAACTCTAATAGGCAATTGGGGAGTTATTACTATATCTTTTAAGTACTACAGAGACAGAGAAAGGGGCCAAATGATCCTTTTATTAGTGCAATTAAAGTTTACCATTTGGCACCAGCTCGAGCTTACAAAAGCCATTTAATTAAAGATAATGGATGAACTAAAACTATTGAAATTAAGTATAGCCTATAACTAGAGCGCACGCTGGAGTCGGAGTAAACAAACTTAATGGTAAGAATGACTGAAGGTGGAGTAAACAATCTTTTTTTTTTTTTTCCAATGGCAGATTGTGAACAATTGCAAATGTAACTCAGTCCATTAATCTATACAAGGCCGGATATGGTGGTCTCTTTATTATGGAGGCACCTAATAGGTGGGCCACCATCGCCTTTCCTATGAAGGAACGGACAGTTTAACCATGCCTTCTCCGGGATTTGAACCCAGGCCCTTCGGCATCGCAGTCAGCTTCCCTGACCACTATACCGGCTGGGCGGCTGGAATAAATAAGTCTAGTGGCATGAAAAACTGAAAGCCATAGAATACTAATCGCGAGGGAATCAAATTTAGCAGCGGAGTGTACAGGCAAGCAGTACAAACTCTGATTTTACACTCTGAAACCTTCCTTTAAATACTCTCCACTTTCTACCTCATTTGAATATCGCGCGGTCTAGAAATTTACATGCAGGCAGGGCAATAGGAATGAGATTGATAGAAAAGTATATTAACACATTAAAGGCGGGAGTCGTAGTACTACGATTTATCTCGACTGTAGCTTAAAGGCCGGGAGTGGTAATAATACGATTTATTTCGACTTTAGCTTGCGCATCTCGACTGTAAGCTTGCGCAATTATCTCGACTGTAGCTAGCGCATGGATTGCGCATTCCATGCGCCACTTTACGTTTGTATTTAGTATGTTTTGTGGTTTGAAGCTGTTCGGTTGTTCAAATTCTACTTACAGTAAATTTTGAAATCCTTCAATATGGTTTCACGTGAAAATAAAGATATAGTGCAGAACGATTTGATGTATATTGAAGAGCCACAACCTGGTACATCGAATTCGGCACCGCGGGCTCCACGATATAAAATTGATCCGCCTGGACGTCTTTCGCTAGACATCAAAAAGCACAAATTAATTCGGATAGAAAATAAAGGCAAAGAGGCTATATGCCCAACGAAACTGCGTAGTTTGTGCGGCACATAAAAAAAGAAAGATGACTTGCTTCAAATGCGAGTTCTGCAATGCACCTCTTCACCATGGTGGGTGTTATCAACATTATCACACTCATAAAAAATACTAGATTCTTCTCATAAATATGTACTTTAAAATATTTTTTGTAATTAGTGTTTAGTTCTTTTTTAATATTTCTTGTAGTTTTAAGAGTTTAAATAAACTTTTTTTAAGTCTAATTTTTTTTTATGATTACACAAAATATCGCCCGCTCTAGGACGAAAAACGAGGCAAAGCGGTCGCCGCGTTACCTAGCATGCTTTCGTCAAGATCCCCCGCCTTTAAAAATGTGTTAACATAAAATAACGGGTTAGACACTTAAATGATACTTTACACAGTCATCAAAGTTTATGAATACAGTAAGAGTAGCAAGAAGAAAATGTTGCCTGAACACAAGGGGGAAAAAAGACTGTTAACACCCAACATCTACAAAATCCTTAGTAAGAAACGATTTGTCACATTAATATGATGTAATAGTTACAGGCGAATCAAAATTTGACATATTTGGATCTGATGGTCGGAATACTGTGCGAAGAAAACCAACGAAAAGTTAAGAAAGTCGAAAAACCTGCTGCCTGGTCTTAAATGAGAAGATACAAGAGTAATGACCATTTGATGATGTCCTACTGCCTTTGGTATGAAAATTTAGTTTTTACAGGAAACACTTCCGTTTAGTATAAAAATACAAAAGATTCTGAATGAAAAACTTGAAGCCATCTGAGCAAAATATCCAATGCAGAATTAAATGAGCGTAGTCCTAAATGCTCGCTTAGATTATTGCAGATCTATGAGTAATCATCAAAATTTTTTCTGTTCTCTGTACTTACATCTTATCTATCGCCAATAACTTGACGCCCTCGACCGATCAAGCTAGAAATTCAATTCAAGCTCAAGCATTGATACCCACGTCTTTCATATGTCACACGTCTTTCACGTGGACATCCGTATCTTTTACGAGTGTACTTCCTGCACACGCTATGTTAACATTCAGAGTAATAACAATGCCTAAATAATTAAATAAAATGCAATTTAAACATAAACGGATGTTTATAGATATATAGTAATAGAAAAAACAACGCTTTGGCTAATAATAACAATGGCAAGTAAATACACGAAAGAGGTACTAACTAAATCGTTATAATGATTCTGTGTATTATATTACTTCGCGGTACTTTTTTTTTTTTTTTTTTTTACTGAACTAAACAAACGCTGCGGAGACATGTAAATCCTGTTTCCTGTTCTAAATGTAGTTCTGTTTAATAAATTAAAACAATAAAATTTCCTCAGTTGTATTATCATACTAATAATTGTTTGGTTTATAAAGAGGGGACTGCAGCATTTTCGAATATACTATGACTGGTTCTGAAGTCAGTAACTGGAATTCTGTTATTATTTCATATTAATGTCTATCAATTCCCTTACACTATTTTTACTATATGCAGGGAAATTCCCGTATGGCATCCTCTCAGATCTCAACCTTGGACTCGGTTGACAGCTCCTAGCATAACAGAAACGACGTACAGGAGAGATTTTGTGTCTCAGGTTCATGTGCCTCGATTAACCAAACGTCGTTCACATGGATAAGAAAATTAGACTGTTTCGATTACTTTCACTCAGAAGAGACTAAAAGAGAGTTCAAGTTAGAGGCAGGCTCAATAAAAAGTTCTCTTCAATAGTTTGATTCCCGTGCATATATTTTGCTATAATTAAAATAATTATTTATTCAAGAAGTGTTTTAGTTTTTGTTACAACTAATTATTTTAAACTAAATCGTCTAGTTTCGCTAAGTTGAAAAATACTTATTATATGATGGTAAGGACATTTCATATTTTCGACAGCGCAAAATATGCTTATTGACGTTGCGAGGTAAGTGGAAGAATATGTGGACTTTTCGAATTAAATTATAACTGTTCTTTAATAACAAAAAATCATGCATAGAGTTATAAATGGCTCTTGCGGTATTTTGTTTATTAGTTTTTCTCCTCAAATTAATCATTTTTCCATGCTTAATGCAATTTTAATGAATTAATTTGAGCATTTTGTTGATACTTAACTACTGCTGAATAATACATCGCTAAAAAGTTAAATGTTTTATTATTTTCGTTAAAAATTTTAATTTTACCTATGTTTGTTTTAGAATGCAGTTAATGCCAACATAACTAATACTGAAAGCCGATATTTCCATTCTTTTCTTGTGGTAAATACTTAGAAGTTAATTTAGTTTTTATGCATCTACCTTATAGGGACAGTAGGTTATTTCAAAGCAGGAGATATGAAAAATTAGCAATGCTCTCGCCGGGACTCGAACCACGGACCTTTCGAATACGCGCCGAGTGTGATGACCCCTACACCACGAACGTATGCTAAGAAGGTGGGCGAAATACCTCATAACCTCGGAAAAATTTAAAGATTTCCATTAGGCAATGCAAAATATACCATGTTGCGTGAAATTGAGAAAAATCTGACACTTTTTGCAGGTGTATGTTGTTGCTGGCATATTTTACTATAAGAATTTAAAGCCTTCACTTTTACATACTTCATTGTAATTATATTATAGGTATATGATTTCAATGAAGTATGTAAAAAATGTACTTGTCAAAACTGTACATTTTGTGAGAAGTCTTGTTATAAAAGCAATGCTAATTTTTTTTTAATTCATCATCTGTTTAGGTCATTTTGAAATACGGCAGATTTGTGATGCACTGAATATCTAAGACATTTTTGCAGCGTTTGGTCAATAGTAGAATTATATTAATGTCAGCCTTTTATTTACTAATAATCTTCTTCTAAGCATGCGAAATATCACTAGTACTATATTTTTCCCTTAATAGATAAAAAGATGCCTAATAGTTGTATAACAATTATACTATCTACACTGGCTAGATCTATCCCACACATGCTCAATAGTATTAAGATGAGAAAAGTGAGCGGACCATTGCATGCGCTGATTATTTTCACTTTCAAGAAACTTGTCGACCAGGATCGCACGGTGACAAGGTGAGTTATCATACATGAATACGAATCCAGGACTGCCAGCACCTCGACAGGTGAACATAAGGCTCAAGGACTTCGTATATGTACCTTTTAGCAGTAACAGTCCGCTGTCAAAGACTTGGAGGTATGTGTGGCCATCCGTCATTATGCTTGCCACACTATGACTACCTTTGAAGCAAAATAATAACTTTCCGTGATTTTCTTGGGTGAAAATGAGACTCTTTCTCTTCGTATCGTTATCCGAAGAAATTCAGAACACCTCATTGGTCTACTCTTGCAAACTCCATTGCTGATGCTTCCAACTCCAGTTTAGAAAAGCGCGTTTATGGGCGGACGTGAGAGGAATGCAGTCATTTGGCGTACAGACCAGAATGATGGAGTCTCCTAGAAACAGTTTGCCTCGAAACTTGGACTCCTGTGGCTGCTGTGAGCACTGAACCGAGTTCTCTGACACAACTGTCCATAGACCTTATAAGAAATAGACCAACTCAAATAGCTTTTCTCCCTTTTCTGACGTATGAACGGCTGTCACCCGGCTGTCACCTTGACCACATCCGAAGGAGTAGGGATGACTTGTAGAAACTTACAATGGTTGGCTATTGCAGTGTGTATGATTGTCAAGAAAATGTTGGTTTTAGCGCCTCATTTGACAATAGAATTTTTAGATATTTTTAGTTTTGAAACTGAGATTATTTTTTTTAATTTAGCATATTTATCAAGCATAATTAATGTTCCATATAATTATAAAGCTGTTGCATGCTTTCAGGCCTGGCTATTATTTTAGCTTTTCCTATGCTGTAAGGAAATTTGTAACTATTTCTTTTAAAAAATAATACTTTAAATTTGAACTAATAGAAAATTTCAAACAAAAAATTTTCTCTTACACTTTTTATGCTTTTTATTGGTGTAAATAAGTAAAAAATACTAAAATACCTAAAAATGAATTTTTGAAAGTTTTTGCTGAAAATTCTAAGTTGTGCTGCTTTTATAAGATTATAGGTGAACTATAGCATATTTTTTATAAAGGAGTTTTATTTCAATTATATGTCACAATACATCATAATGATAAACACTTTTAACACTAATAATTTTTATACATTTATTTTCTAATGTCAAAATTGTAAACTGTAGTAATTGATTGCGCTAACATTTTATGGTGAGTATTTCTTTTAATTTAATTCTAGTTCTGCATAAGATTTTTTCATTTACTGTGAATTTAATTTATTAGCCCGAAGGGGCGGTAGCCCAGAAAGGCTATTAGTTTCGAAACGGTACTTTGCGTTGTTTTTTTATAAACGTCCGTTTCACTTTGCAAATTGTTACCACTGAATATTATCGCCTTATATATATTTAAATAAATTTAATAATGAATAATCTGCATGAATATATATGTATGTTTCTCGCACTGTGAAAAAACGACGGTATCTAGAGCCATTAAATTTTAAATAACGTAATCCTCCACCCGAACAGGCGAATTTGTTTTAATCCATTTCATATTTTGTAAAACTTTAACGAATTTTTGATTAAGAAACTCAACGGGTTCAAACAGAGCAATGACAACACTGTACGGAAAATAACATTTTTATCTCCAGTGCGGAAATTCTAAAGATATGCTGTTTTCAAATATATTGTCATACTGCTGTTGAATTGAATTTTGTGTGGTTTACATGCGCAGAATATGATATTAAATAAATAGAGGTAACACAAAAAGCGTTAAAAAAAGTCCCTTTGAGAGTAACATAAAATTTGTGTGCTTCCAGATTTTATTTATTTATTTATTTTCATTACACCGAGGAAAGTTTATGCTCCGAATTTTATGAATTATTAAAATAAATAATCATCTTGTGATGTTAATAATTAATGATCATATGATCAATTAAATTATCGTCTTGTAATGTTATAATTTTAAAAACTACCGCTTGAAAATGCACATAAAATTTTTAAAAAATATATCAGATCTTGTTTAATTTTGCTTTATTTGTTTCAAAGCTTCATGTACTATTATTCTTATTTAATTTTATTTGTACTCAGAAAATTCAAAAATTTTACATATACAGTTTTTACTGTTTTACCAAAGTAAAGATGTTTATACAAGAATTACGCGTGAAAAGAATGCGCAAAATGCAGTTAAAAGTGCTTCAAAGAGATATATTAAATTTTATTTGAAAAAACTGTGACTTTCATAATCTCATCACTTATAAACGTATCACATTTAATAATTAAAAACAATTACGTGATACAAACGCCACAGGTTTCAGTGTTAAAGTAAACCAGATCGTCCCTACTACTTCTTGCGGACATGTGGGTGATGCACGTCCCGCCCACTGGGTTAGTTTATCTCTTATAAGGTCCATGCAACTGTCCCTCTAACATCACGAAGTTATTGCCAAATATCGGTCTTGACGAATGGTTATTACTCTTGGTCGACTTTGCTCTGGTCGTCGGGTAACATCTTCCGTACTGTGAAATCTCTGCCCCAGTCTTAAATTACCACACACTGAAGCACATTCAGAATTTGAGACACTTCAGTTTGAGATCGTCCACATTCCAGCATTGCAATAATTCTTCCTTTCAAAAACATGTCCATTTGGCGTTTTTGTGCCATCCTTCTATCTTTTCGATCGTTTAACTCACTCCTCAGCACAGCCATTGCACATAGCCTGCCTGATTTCCGTATGGCACGCAAAATGATTTCATAATCTTTCTGATGTGCGCACGTGTTTTGAGCATGCACACGTCGACCGAAATGTTTCGCTCACATGTGTAGCAGCTTATCCTTCCTCCCCCCCCCCAATTTTTTTTTATATATTTATGCCAGACAATGAGATTTTGAGAATTTAATATTTGATCATGATTTCGATTATGCCAAGCAGATATATTCGATTAAGTTAACATGTACTCATTTCAAATGGGCAACACATCCTAAAATTCTGATTTACGTGATTTCAAATATATCAAGTTTCATCTGCAAATTAGTGTTGTGCTTCATCAAAATATTGTGATATGATTTTGTGAACTGTGCTACGTTTCTTCTTCTATGGCCGGAGGGAATGTGCAGGCAAGCCTCCACATTTATTCAACATCAAGTCTTTTCACTGCGACCTCTCAATGACAGAGCGAAATTGATGACTACAACCGGTTTCTCCTCCTTCTGCGGGGCTCCGAGGGTGTAGGACGAGCTTCTGGCTGTCCTCACCCCCGGATGACGCGTGTGTGCCATTTTGTTCTTTTTCGTTCTTTTTTGACTGCCATCTCCATATTGTGTGTAGAGTAAAGTATTTCGTCGAGTAAAGAAATTGGTACTGAAGATTCAACTAAATTATCTAGATGCTGACTCCTGCAGTAAATTACGACTTGAAATATCCTCGAAAAAACTTCATGTGCACGTGTTCCACTTTCAGGATGATATGAATATTCGCCTTGTGCTTCTTCAAAAATATATTGGAATAACCAGTCAACTCAATTTCCGACGTTATAAAATTTGACTTTTTTTATCATGAAACTTTGCTTGACGATGATGGAATGAGATCTACTTTGATTGGAATATTTATTATTAACTTCTCGTACGAAAGGTTAGGATTCAAAATGGTAGGATTGTTACTTTCGGCCGCTATACGATCACGATTGATAATCTTCTGTCTGGCGATATTTACTTAATTTATGCTGGTATTGATTCAAAATTTAATGATGTCAACATGTAATAAATATTACTTAGTTTACATTACTTGAATTG